AGCAGTCTACCTTCCTACCTCTGGCTGAAAAGGCGGCTCTAACTCTTCAGGGAAAGCTGGTGCAAGATCAGTTCCAGGAAGAAATCAGAAATCAGCAACATTACTGCCCTCACATGGGGTCGAAATTGGAAGAAAATTTAGGTAGGTATGGTGGTGCGTGCCTGCGGCCCTAGGCATAGTTCACATGTTTTAAACATGCTGAAGTACTTCCCTTGAAGTCTTTCAAACTCACTGGTTTTGAGCATGCTCAGCAAGTGCTCTGCCACTGAGCTACATCGCTAGCCTTGCCCTCTCTACCTTAAGCAGGTCCTGGGAGTTTCATCTGGAGCCTTGAAAATCTTTCCTGGTTTCAAAGTTCTTGTCTTTTCCCAGCGTGTGCGCAACTGTGCTGATTTGTCAAAGAGCTTGTATCACCTCCTCCTTCATGCATAGCGAGCCAACACAAGGGCCCCATTTCAAAAAATATTATTTTAAATTTAGATTTCTTACATGTGTTTGTTAGATGTTGAACACATTCTCTTCATTTTTCTCCTTTGCTGCCCTCTCCCCTTATTCCCTTTGTTCCTCTGGACAATCTCACTTCCGCTTTCATTTAATACACACACACATAGTTCTATGAGACCATATAAAATATAGGAACCACAGATGAGAGAGGAGCATTTTTTTTTTTTTGAGATTGGCTTAATTTGCTCAGTATTATTGTTTCCAGTTGCGTCCATTTTCTTACAAATAACGTAACTTCTTTCTTATGGCTGAAACACATTCCACTGTGTATAAAAGCCACATTTTCTCTCTCCGTTTGTCTCCTGCTGCACAGCTAGGCTGGCTCAGGAACTTGGCTATTGCAAACAAAGCTGTAAAAACTGATGAGCTGTTTCTGAGATCCGTTGACGTGCAGTCCTTCAGGTGAACACCAAGAGTAGACCTGAGTTATCCATTAGACCTCATGGATCTATGTCTATTTCCTGAGCAACCTTCATACGCTTAGCCACAGGGGTTAGGCTAGCTAGTTTACACCCCACCAGCAAGTTTGTGTGGGCCCCTGTGGTCCACAGTGGTACCCACCAGGTATCCTTTGAGGCTTGACCTGCCTTTCATTCCTGGACCCACCTGTCCACATCTCGCCCTCTAGGGTGGGTAGGACTGGGGGTTTAAATAGCTTCCTAAGCTGCTCTTAACCAGTGTCTGCTGTTTGTAGGTCAAAGCACATCTTCCGGCTTCCAGGTGGGACAGAACAGAGCCAGTCTTTCCCTTGGCGCTGGAGTTACAGGGGAGAGGGGGCCATCTGATGTGGGTGCTGGGAACTGAATTTTGTCCTCTGCAAGAACAGCAAGTTCTCTTAACTGTTGAGCCATCTCTCCAGTCTCCTTATTCATTATCACTGGGAGCCTGTGATGTGTGTATGTGTATGGTGTGAGGTCAGAAGACAGCTTTGTGGAGCCTGTTCTCTCCTTCCTCCATGATAGGGGCTCTGGAGATCCAGTCAGGCCATCAGGCTTGCTCATAAGTTCTTACCCGCTGAGCCATCTCCCAGACCTTGGTTTTAATTTTTTAACTCTCTCTCTCTCTGTTGCTGGAGAAAAAAGATTTAAAGTCTAGGCAGGATCCTCCTTTCCCCTTTGGAGGAGAAAAATGACTAAACTCTGCTCTGCGTCTAGCTGAAGGAGGATGTGGAAGTTCTAATGTGTACTAACCCCTCTCACAGGTACGCCCGCGGCATGGTGGCGGGAATCACTCTTAACTGATTCTTGTTGCAGTCACAGCTTTATTGACATTTCTCCAGCTAGACTGGAGCCTTCCCTTGAAATGCTGTGAATACACAAATGAAGCTTTTCATGCGAAGGAAAGCTGAGCTCTGCCGCAGAGTACAGCCCACACTGTGATTGGACATGGACATCTGGGGTTCTCCATCACTTCCTGGTGCCCAAAGCCACCAGAAGAGCCAGCAGTCTCAGGGACCTTCCGTCTAGCTGCCATCTCTCGGTGGCAGCACTCAGGCAGGGCTGACAGGTAAAGAAGCAGAGATGGGGTACCTGCTCTCCTCCACCTTCTCCTAGTCTGTTATGGAGAAGGAGTAAGGCTTTCAGAAGCAACTCCAACAGGAAGTGAGAACCTAGGAGAATTCAGGGTAAGAGCGGCATCTGGACCAGGGCCAGGTGAGGACCGCTGCCTGCCATGAGGCAGGGAGTTCAAGGTAAAGTCACCAAGGGCTCAGGGCATGGGATCAAAGACAGGAAAGGGGCGGAAAGACTTACTGTTTTCTAAGTATTGATTTCCCCTGCAGGGCTGTCTTACAAGGGTGAGCAGTGAGTTCATTCATCATCTTAATGGCCAGGCCATGGTGACTATAAACATCTGAGGGCTGCATTTTACTGGGGGCTGCTATTAACTCGACAAGAGACACCGGAGACGGCAGAGCACAATGGCAATCAAGCCTGCTGCAATGGCAGCAGCTACAGAGTGAAGGAAAGCCACTTGTGCTTTGCTTCCTTACGGGAGGATGGGGTGCATGTCTGCCCTGGCAATGCCTGACTCCCCAGCTCCTCCGACATCTCCTACTTTGTTCACATGCCCAGACTCAAAGGTTCCTGCCCTGAGCCTTCCGCCCTAGGAAAGGTCAGGTTCTCCCTCAAATATAAAGCTATGCAAACACATTAACTGTCCAAATCCTCCCTCAGTTCAGATTAGAAAGCTGATCAGTTTTATCATCTGGCGCCGTCTTGCGCGGCTTGCCTTGAAAGTGAGAAGAGAGATTCCGGAGAGAAACTGAACACCCATTCCATGGCAGAGGTAGGTATTAGAGGGAAGACTCACTTTACAACACAAACAAAGCCACCCGTCCTTGATGCAACTTGTCATAAAAAGGAAGCTAATGTGGTTGTCTACGAAGGCCCCAAAGCCCAGATTGGAGACCCAGGCTGATTAGAAATTCTAAATATTCATTTCTCAGAAACAGCAATACACTGATCCACTACTGTGGCCCTCATCAGGCCTTTGTCTCGGAGGAGTAAAAGGACACAGGGTTCATCCCCTCATCTCAGTCTCTCAAGGTGATCAGAAGATGGAGCTGTGACTAGTTCCACAGCCCCCACTCAGTGACTGATGACAGTGGGTTGTGAACTACAGCCTCAGGCTGCTTGGCCATACTCTGCAAGTTTCACGAAGAGTGATGGGTGAGGGCTGTCTCTCTCGTGAGCTCATGACCACCCTTTCTTCATCACGAGCCTCTCACCACTGAGTCTTATCTTCCAACTTCTCTGGCCTGATGGCTTTCCCAGTAAGATCTCACTGTGGTTGCCCAGCTGCAAACCCCAGCCCAGCAGAAGACCCAAGTTCACACCCAGAAGCAGACTTTCTCTCCAAGTGTCTGACTTTTGCACCATCATAAAGTTGGATAAGGGAAAGCGGAACTGTCATAAGGTGGGGACCAATAGAACCTGAGTGAATGATGGGTCTGTGTAGCACGTGTTTGCATATGGTGGGAGTCGGGGTCTACCATGGCAGGGACATGCTGTACACATGCTCATCACAGGCCTCATCCAATTCCTAGTACAGCCCAAGAAATCGGTACCCTGGACCCAGGTCACACTGACCACCAGAGAGACAGCTGGAACTTCAGCTTCACATCTGCTAACCACCACAGGGCTCACACTCCCTCCACCTCACTCTCAACACCTATTATTTCACTTCTATGTCTAAATGCAAACTAGCTTAGCTGCTTCCGCCATCATCCCAAAGCACAAATTTCACCTAAGTCATTGGCTTTAATAATGACATGGATGCTACATTTGGATTGATTTTTTTCATTCCCTTCCGTCCACTAAACACACACACACACGATCCAGATGCTAATATATTTGGCTACTTTATCTGCTGCTAAGGGGAAGATATGAGATACACCAAGGATTCGGACAAAGTTGACCAGAAATACAGTCATGTGACAGGCAGGCAGGTCAGAGCATGGGGCTGGTGCATAGGACAGACAGCCAGGCTACAAGTCTAGGTCAGTGACTATGGGCTGGATGTAATCAGGGGACATGTTTTATTCGAATTATAGAAAACGTTTGAATTAGCTGCGTCCTTCTCACACTGTCCTCTAGTGACCACAGCCCTTGTCTATAATTCATGGCTGATTAACTCAACATTGAGTTAATCTTCCACAACCTCAATGGGAAGCCCACCTGCTCAATGTGTACCTCAGGGTGCCCACGTGCTGAGGGCCAGGTGAAGGTTTCCCTCATGAAGTGATTCGGATTCCATGTGAACACCAGCTCAGTGAGGCCAACGCTGCCAACAGGGAAAAGCTGCAAACAGCCGAATAGCTGTGGCCAGAGCAACTGGGTTGAGTAAGGTCTGTCCTGCGCAGGGCCTTAGAGTGGTGTCTGTCCTGCCCAGGGCCTAGCCTCTCTCACAGAGGGGCACTGAGGGGCATTAGGGCTTCAGGGGAGAGAGAAAGCAAGAGCTTGCCCTTTCTTTTGGACTCATGCTATTGAAACTTCAACTCATTTGAATAAACTAATTGGCTCTACAAAAGCTCACTCAGCTCATGGAAATCACCGAATTAACTCAGTTCCCTTGAATGTGGCAGGAATAAATATCTAAATATGGCAAAGGATTAGCTGACACAGATAACCATGTAACAGAGAGCACAGAGTGCCTTATTGGCAATTGCAATTGTGATGAACAGGGATCCACTCATACTTATTTTTCACAGCTACTGACTTATGTGTGATAACAGCCGTTGCTGCTCAGAGAGAGTCTAATCACAAGAGAAAGGGGATAGAATGCAATAAAGGACAGACATTATCCGTGATACCCATTTATGGCTGCTTCTTGGCCGTACCAGCAGCCTGCCTAGTCCAGGATGAAAGCCAGCTTCTAGTAATTCCAAGTTCCTTACACAGGAGTGACCTTGTGGGATCATCGCCTGGTCCACGATGCGCAGCAGGTGAGCCGGTGTGTCAGGTGGAAAGTGGCTCCCTCGCAGGGAGCTCGCCTACCTTCTGCCACATGTTGATGAAGAAGAGCTCCCGGGAAACATTGAAGGACACGTTGGCGTCATAGGCGTCGTCCCCGAGGTTGGAGATGGAGATGTTCAGAGAAATGTTCTTCACAGCCCCCAAAGCCAGGTGTGGGGTTTTCTCATCAACACTGCAGAGAAACCCAAACATTGATTACTCTCCTTGCACTTACGGTAACACGACAGGAGGCACTGGGGATAGTGTGGAGGGAAATAGCAACCCAGCTATAATGCTCAGAGCCCCATTCACTAGGCGCAGGGTTGTGGGCGATCAGCACCTGTGGGCCTCTTTTTTTTTTTTTTCCAAAAAAACAAGGGATTCTACATTTTTTGATCTTACTAGAATGTTGCACGTCTCACGAGAATTTCTATACATCAAACTTGGAAAGTTTAAAGACATTTAACAGCCGGATAGCTGTTATTTATGTGAAATCCATTCATTCAGTTCTTTGGAGCAGACACTGTTTTTCTCATCATATGCTGGATGAGATGGTTATTGTTAATTGTCCATGTGACAGACCCTAGGATCTCGCGGGCTGTGGCCTCTGGACATGCTTGTGTGGGGTGTTAATTGCGGTGGGACCACACATCTTCATTGTGGGTGGAACTCTTCCCTGCTCAGGAAGTGCAGGCTGTGACGCAGCGGCCTGAGCACACGCATTCACCTCTGCCTGATAGAGACGCATCGACCCATCTCTCTAAATGCCTGCTGCTGTGACCTCCTGCCGTGACCTGCTGTAATCTCGAGTGTAAGCTGAAATAAACCCCTTCTCCCTCACGCTTCTTTGGTGTTTTCCTTAACAACAGGAAAAGAAGGCAAGACACTGGAAGCAGTAGCATGTAACTTCAAGGAAACAGAAGAGGCACACCAAAGCCAGTGCGCATAACCAGCTGTGGAAACCTAGGAGGGCAGGACGGACTCCCAACACAGTCGTCAGGGAAGCCTCCAGAGGAGGGAACTCTCAGTAGAAACTTGGGAGAAGGAGAATGGGATATGCAGAATTAAGGGTTTACTGTGGTGGGCACAGATCTGGCGTGTTCATGGAAGAGAACAGAGGCTGGTGAGGACTGAGCGGATTGAGAGGAAATGAGCTCAGAGAGGGAAAGAAAATGAATCTGGCAGGTTCTGTAGGTCCTGGTGTGTCACCATTAAGACCCTGGTGTAAATGTGATACAGACGGGCGCCCCTTCCTGCTCTCAGCAGAGACGCAAGGACTCTTGGGGCCCATATCCGGAGTCTCCTCCTGGATGCAAGGGAAACAGTCCCTGGAGCACTCTGGAGAGAAGCTGGGTGAGCAGGGTCCTGCAACAGGCCAGGTGGAAGAAGGTGAAAGGTCATAGGTGAGCAGGGTCCTGCAACAGGTCAGGTGGAAGAAGGTGAAAGGTCATGGGTGACCAGGGTCCTGCAACAGGTCAGGTGGAAGAAGGTGAAAGGTCAGGTATGAAAGACTCAAAGGATAAAAAATACTGTTTAAAACATCTCAGAAATACATACTCATTTGCCACATAATAAAGAGTGGGGGAAGAAAATCATTAAAAATCTTTGTTTTCTGCAATTAAACCATTTTGTTTTTATGAAAGCAGAAAACACGGCATGTCCAGTAAAAATGCTGCAGTCCATAAGAGAGTGACACCCGTGAGCATGGACGTTTCAGGGAACATGTTTTGGCAACGTGGGGTTGCGGGCATGCAGGGTCAAAGTTCACAATGGGACACAGAGAAGATAGGCAGTGGGACGGACATGGGCGAGGAATATCTTACATGTGAATTATTTTAGTTACCGTGAGTCCAGAAACCTCCACGGCCCGGATTGTGCAAGCCCCCACCTTCAGCTATAACCCCCCATATTGGACCATGACCCACAAGCTTTGATGGACACAGCAGTCCCTGGTGACCTTGTTATGAATTACTCCTGAATCATGGTTAACAGCTGACTGGGGTGAGAGGGGACTACATTTAACAGGGAGTAAAGAGGGTGTACGGAGATGTTTCTTTTAGTAAGGTGGAGAAACAGGATAGGAGCTACTGGGGAAGCCGTCTGTGGAGATACCTTTTTTTTTTTTTTTTAAGATGGGAATTATCATAGTGTATTTACACACGAATGGGAAAGAGCCCTCAGGGAAAGCACAGTGAGTGAGCATGTCACAGGGGGCCTGGCTGATGTGTGGAAAGGCTGCAGCTGAATGAGGAGAGTGTGAAGCCTAGCTGCTGAGTGTGGGTGGGGTGCCCAGACTCTGATGTACATGTTTGTATTCAGTATCAGAAATGAAACTGAGTCAAAGACGGGAGAGGAGGGAAGGGGAAGAGGTTGGGGATGTGGCGATGGCAGGGAGAGCAGCGAATGACTTGGCCCAGGAAGATGAGGATGGGAATGAAGGGAGTGCAGACATAGTACCAAGTGATGCTAGCTCTGGGCAAAACGTCACTCCAGTGGCCAATCTGTAACCGGCCAACTGGCCAATGGAAGATGTGGAAACGCTTGTGAGACCTGCTGCAACTGACAGCTGTTCCTTTTGGCTGTTTGGCTCAGCAGACCCCGTGACAGATGTGAAGCGATCATCAGCAGGTGGGGCAGATGTCCCTCATGGTCTTTCAGCTGTGGGCACAGGATTAAGCACAGTCCCAGGTTCAAACGGCCTCCCTCTGATGAGCGATACTCTCAATCACAGCTCTGGAGTTTGCGGGTTGTGTGAGAACATGATGGTCCTATGGTCACCTGAGTTGGCTGCAGAGGGTTCGAAGACCAGGAAGGCACGTCCTCCAGCTACACCTTGCCTCCCTTGTTTCCTGTGGAAATCATTGGCCCCCTCCACCCCTCTTTGAAGCCTCATCTGAACCAGCTTGTATCTTTCACATAAATTAGATTTACGTTAACAGGCATGTTTTGCGGTCTGCAGCAATTAACATAGCTAATGCAGCGTGCAAGAGAAGAGGTCTGCTCAAACACTCAACAGATTTCAGGGCGAGGGAGGAACCGTCCTTGTCCATCGGCAGAAAGCAACCCGCACTCTCCAGCATGTCTGGCACACCAACAAGAAAAACATGCGCGACAAGAAATCCGGATGGCCTGCTTTGGAGGCGAGAACTCCGAGGATCCAAACAAGATGTGAAAAATTAACTCCAAGAAGAGTTTCAAATTCTTGAATGGTCTCCAACGAATTAAGACCTTGACCTCAAGCTATTGTGGCAATGATTTATTATTGTTGGCCACTCTGGTCTTAAACAATTGATGGGTTATTTCTGTCCCTGATTGCTTTTGTAACATGAAAGGAGAATTGTCAGGCCTTGAGTTATGAGACAGCATTAACTTAGCTTCGTCAAGAGAAGGACCTACATACATGCTCACAGAGGCCCAGTCACCTCAGACAGTTTCTGTGGGCTGTTGAGCAGAGAGACCACATGGGAAGGCACAGCGCCACAGGCTAGAGAGCTGCTACCACTGTCCAGTGTCATAGTTCACAAGACTGGTCTTTTTCTGTCATGTGTAAATGCCAAGGAATCAGGCCAGGGACATGTGAAGTTTGGCCAGCCCCCACAGCTCCGCCACTTATTCACGCAGTAAGGTCATTCCTGGCTTTTCATAGCCAAGTGACTGTAGTGTGGAAGCCAGGCACCTTCCAGGGTAGAATGTGAACTCAAAACTTTTCAAAAGAAACCTCAAAGTTGTTTTCATTCTTTCTCTAGAGCTAAAACTCTCTAACTAAAACAGTAGGCTGCTTCTTCCCAAGTTATTCTTAGGAATGAAATGAAAATGCAGTTTGCTAGCCTGGGGCTGGTTCTGTCAGGCACAATTTGCTAGCACGGAACTGGTGCTGTCAAGTAAGCCTTTCTGAAAGTTCACAGGAGCTGATGGGAGTGCCACTTTTGGACATAAAGAAATCATGAAGCAAAGAGCTAAGGAGGCTGGATGAGAACTGAGAGCCTTCCATGCCTGCAAAGCCCATTCCTTTCCACTGTCACCCACGTCTTTCAGTCTCCTGTCTGTGACAGAACACCATAACCAAGGCCACCTATGAAAGGAAGCATTTAATTGGGGCATACAGTTCTAGAGGGTGAGAGTTCACGGCCGTCATGACAGACAGCATGGCAGCAGGCAGACAGGCATGTCACTGGAGCATTAGGTGAGAGCTCATGTCTAATCCACAATCACAAGGCAGAGAAAGAGAGAGAGAGAGAGAAGGAGAGAGAGAGAGGTGCTAACTGGAGTGGGCTTTTGAAAGCTCAAAGCCCAGCCCCAGTGACATACTTCATCCAAAAAGTCCACACCTCCCAATCCTTCCCAAACACCTCCAACTGAGGACCAAACATTCGAATACATGAGCCTCTGGGGAGCATGTGCCTTCAAACCAACACGCCGGCTAAGCCCACTTAGCCCGGTCCACAGTGTAAGGGAAGGGGCCAGACTCCACGCGGTTGTAGCCTTAATATCGCACACAAGCTGTGGTTACCCCGACATGATTGATCCAGCCCAGATTCCAGCACAGGTCAGGGACGCTCTCTCCAGGCCCCATCCCTTCCTGAGGAGCTAGTGGCAGTTAATAGTTAGCTCTGGGGTAGGAAGAATCATTCTTTTTATATGTGTGGCTACTGGTAGAGCTTGCTACTAATTTGTGACAGGGGACCATATGTGTACCACAGGGTCCAACAGCAGAGGCCAGGAACTTTTGTTTTGGTTTGCTCATTACTGCGCTCCCAGGGGCAGAATTGGTTCCAGCACCGAATTTCTAAGGGAATATAATTTCCTGACAATTAAGAAGATTGTTCTTCAACAGATAACACCACAGAATGTCTAGCACAGACCTGCTGTGTTGGTCATTTAATCCTTTGGTGGGGTGTCAGAGGCTGGCCTCTCCTGATGGAGTTCTATGAACTGCCCCCCAGCCACAGATTAGCAAATAAGCACTCTAACATCTCCAAGGCAGACCATCAGCCCAATCCTCACATTTCCCAGAGGGAGAAGCTGAGTCTGAGAGAGGAGCCACTCAGCTGAGGTCACCCAGCCACACCAGGCCTGAGCTGGAGCTAGTATCGAGTGTCCTTATCCATCCATGCTGGGGGTCTCATATAATGAACCCCACCAGGAAGACTCTGGCAAGAAAGGTTCTTTTAATGACATCTGAACAGAGAGGAC